TGAATTATTTTTTTAATATTATTATTTTTTTTTTTTGGAAGACCCTTTTTTAGAGAGTGAACCATATTGTAGAGCACTACGTTGGACATAGTGCAGTGTGTGATAGACTTATGTCTTCATGAATAGCTCCCTAAATGCATGAATCTTTGAAACACACCCTCGAACTCACAACTGACACACTTTCACTCTGACGCATACAGACCAATGTACACTCACGCATGCATGTTCTCACAACTGACACATTAATGTTATGATTATTAATAATACTTATATTACAGGTAGAAAGAGAGAGAGAGAGAGAGAGAGAGAGAGAGAGAGAGAGAGGTTGTTTTTATTTTGTTTTAGAAATAGTTTTAAGGCACTCGCAACTGCATAAGGTCAAAAGTAATAGAGAGAAAAAAAAGAAAGAGACAAAAGAGTGGTTTGTTTTGGGGTTTTTTGTTCTTTGGGGGTGCGCGTGGGTATGCACGCGCGCGTGCGTGCGTGCGTGTGCGCGCGCGTGCGTGCGTGCGTGCGTGTGTGCGCGCGCGCGTGTGTGTGTGTGTGTGTGTGTGTTTGTGTGTGTGTGTATTTTGATATTTATTTTTGATTTTTTTATCGAGTTGAGACACTGTATCAGTCTGACCCCTGGTTGACCTTTATAGGCAGGTTGAAGCCAGTCTGCCTCCCACATAACATAAATTGAATCGACGACCGGAGGTGTTAACAATGTACATGATAGTAATGAAACGACTGAGCTCATTTTATTGAAACAATGGCTATATAAGACTAGTTTCAATAAAATGAGCTCATTCCTGAAAAATAGAAACATCTCAGTGACTACCAATATGAAAGTTCTGAAATGCTATGAGTGGTCAACCCTTCTGTATGGTTGTGAATGCTGGACAATCACTGAAGACAGTGAAAGTAAAATAGAAGCAACAGGGATGTGGTTTCTTGGGGGACTGCTAAAAGTGCTAAGAGTATCGTGGAAGGAAAAGAAATCAAATGAGGTAGTGTTTGATGAAGCCCACACTCACTTTTAAAAACAATCAGGAAACGACAAATGCAGTTTTTGGGACACCCGAATAGACATAAGGGTCTTGAACATCTAGCTCCCACTGGCAAAATTGAGGGCAAGCGAGGCAGGGGTAGGCCCAGAGCAACCTACTCGGGGAACCTGAACAAATGGGTGACAGGGAAAGATGAGGGAAACGTAGCTTCTTTTTTTTTTTTAGAGCATCCGAGCAAAGGAATGAATGAAAAACAATGATCGCTGATGTCTGTCGCTGATCTGGCACTGGATGATGATAATAATGTACATCCCTAACACTCAGCCCTATTTCAAACTCCTTGCCCCATCTCCTTTTTTTCACCCCATCCAACAAATAACAGAGAGTGCATCTTGTTCACTAATATAACAATATTATGACATGATCTTCCTTTTACCCATATTACCGTTGTAATCTAAGTGTTATAACGTAATAGCTTGATTATTATAATAATGATAATAATATTCAACCTCTCGCTTCAATTGCTGTTGTGATCGTATTCGGCTGTTATTATGATTTCTGCTTTATTATGATAATGATTATGTTATTATGATGAGGTGTTCTGTGAGTATTTAGATGTGTGCATTTAATTTGATGGCTGTGAAATTTTGCCTATGGCTGTTGATGTTCTTTGGTGTGGATCTAATCTCCTTTTTTTAGTACGTAATACTGTTGATTCCGCAGTTTGTGTGCTGCTTAGTAATTAGTAACTAGATGGTTATAAATTTTAGGGTGGGGGGAG